TATTTTTAAAATTTTAAAAGTTCGAAATAAAAAAGTGGGCGGTGGTAGACCGTGCACCCCATTTTTGAATTAAGGAAATTATCGCAAATCTACCTTAATTTTCATCTATTTAGAAAAAAAAAAACTAAACTTTTATAAACCTCATCTACATCCTTTTTTTTTTTTACTTTTGGGTGTTTTGCGGTCAAAATAGCTTTTATGGTAGTCGAATTATTGTAAAGAACAATTACGGTACTTTAAGAATATGGTACTTAAAATACCATCAAAAAACCTTTTTGGTATTACGATACTCAAATTATCATAATACTAGATTGACAGGAAGATTGCATTATGATACTATAAGTACTGTGAATATGTTTAAAAGTACTACGGTACTTAAAGTAATGTAACTACATTCTAATGAGAACGCCGAAAAGTTCCATCTGAAACAGTAAAAGCTCGAAAACTTTATTGTGGTGAAGAACACCGAAAAAGTAAAAGCTCGAAAACTTTATCGTGGTGAAGAACACCGAAAAAGAAAAACATGAGCCTAGAGATACTATTATTCCATTTGGAGGCTATCGTGAATGTTATTTTAGTCGAAAACGCTCAAAATTGAAAAAAAAATAAAAAATGTGGATATGTTTGCAATGTTTTTCAATCAAATTATTAAAAGGGACACAACTTCCTAACCTCTCTCCCCGGGCCTTGCTTTTCTTCCAGTTGGACCACTTCGTCTTTACATGCGTAAAAGGCCACAACGATTGCTTTTTCTAGGTGAGAAAGCACTGATGTTATAAACTTCATCGTGTTACTTATCTCCTTGATGTGGGACGTTTCTTTCTCCCTTGCCCGCTTCATCTTCTTTTTTTGGCAAGGGAGATTACAATAATTCAATATACGAAGCACGAATATATAAGATTAGTGTGGTCAAATTCGCTTCGCTTCAGTCGAAAGAGACTAAAGCTTTCAGATTTTAGGCCTAGACCGAAGCAAAGTGAAGCTTGCTGCTACTGCTTTGGTCAAATTTGGTTTGCTTCAGGCATTCGACCTAAGTTTTGGCTCTTCGGCCCAAGCAAAAAAATATCTATATAAAATTATTATTATTATTATTATTATATTGGCACTGCTTTTTCGGATAATATTGGGTATGCTTCGAGCAGATTCGGGTGAAGCTTTGACCTTTTCGACCCAAGCAAAGAAATATTATATAAAAGTTTTTTTTTAAAAAATTATGTTTTAAATTTTTTCATTATTTTATATATATATATATATATAAATATCTACTTTATTTATATTAAATTAAAAAAATCCAAAATCTGCCCTTGAATTGGTCAAAGCACCGAATAGCTTCATTTTTTTCACCAAATCGAAGAAGATCTCGAAGCGAACCTGGCAACAATGTATAAGATAGCTATTGAATCTATTTAATTTTTTATATACACAAGAGTATATAAATGTTTCATTTTTCTCGATTTTATTTATATCCTGCATTTTATAAATATTTTTTTCATTTAATCTTAATCAAGTGATTTATTTCTTGCTCGTGAAAATGTTGAAAGCTTATGTAACCTGTAATTTTTATCTTTATTTATTTTTACAACAAGAAAGGAGGAGGCAAGATCTTGTATTTTTATAATCGTAATTAATAACAGAGATTATAAAAATACAAAATAAAAAAAAATGTGTTAGAATGATTAATTTTTATAGCAATGAGTTGCATTTTAATTTACATTTAAAATGGATGTGATGTTCAACAATATTTAATAAAATAATGAAAATCTACATTATAAAACCCCAATTTTATTTGAAAACATAAGAAACTAGACTTTTAAGAAATTTTAGTGATTTTTTGAAAAACTTTTGAGGCCAAAATCTATGCCGATTCTCATATCTGAATCGGTGATCCACCGATCCCACATAATTTTTGAAGTGACCGATTTGAATCATCGATCCGTTTTGTTACCTTGTTCTCAATCTTTTTACTTTTAATATTAAAAAATCGGAGCATGGTGAAAATGAAAAATCCTGACGATGTATGTTGTTGAGTCGCTTAACGAAAATTTCACGCCCACAATGAGCATCCCGTAAACAATCGGAAATACACAAATAGAATCACACGCGACAAGAGACCACGCACCCATGTGTACACTAAATCAGAGAGGAACTATTTCTTTCGATGAAAAAGTTTATATAGAGCCGAGCTTCCAAACAATCCACCTCAAAAATTTCACTAGAAGAGGTTATTTTGATGATCAAATCTCTTCAAATCGATCATCTCGACATCAAGATGTAAATATATCTAAAAAAAATGGATTTCAGGTTTTGAAAATAGTGTATCTTGTAATGCATTTTTTGGACGGTCAATTTTTAAGATTTTCAAGTTTTTATAGATTTACTCGATCTACACTAATTTTGAAGCTCTAAATTTTATAATTAAAAATAAAAAAATATTTTAAAGCTATCACAAATATTTCCAGTATTGAAACCACATTTCTCGACACTATTCGAAAGTGCACTTTACTTCGATTTTTTAGGGTCTCGGTTCTATACAAACCGCACCCTTCTTTGATTTATGGGTGTAGTTTGTATAAGGCAAGGCCCTAAACAATCAAAATCAGGCACACCTTTAAATAACGTTGAAAGATGTCATTCCAGTACATGACTTGAAATTTTATCTTCGTCGCTTGTTATAAGATTTAAAGCTTAAAAAATAATGTAGATCAAGTGGATCTATGAGCGCTTAAAAATATTTAAAATTAACAATCCAGGTAATGTATTATAAAATGCACTATTTTCACGACTTGAGGTCCCTTTTTTTTATGTCCATGTATCTCAAGGTTGAGATGATTGGATTTGAGGGTTTTTCATAATCAAAACAACTTTAGATAATGAGTCAAAGTCCCATGTTGGATTTTTCATCGTCAAAACAACTTCTTATACTGAGTTTTTGAGGTGCGCCTTAACTTGATTGTCAAACTTGTATGAAAGTTTTCAAAAAGTCTTATTGCATTGATTTCTATATTGTAAATGTTGGGCAAAATGCCAACACTGGGAGAGTTTATTATGATTCATATGATCATTGAAAAAGCTATAATAGTATTGTGACCGTTCAATCAAACTATGGACGGTGCATTTGCTTCTTATGCAATAGGTCCGAGTTCGAACCTTAGGAGTAGGAACCAAGAGTTCAGGCCTTGCTAGTAGGGCCCACAAGAACACGACACTCGAAAGCTACAATCCTATCAGAACCATTGTATGATCCACAATAGTACATAAAAGCCAAGATCACAAAGTGTGCAGATCGTCCAATCAATTGATGTACGGCGATGTAGGCTGGTCATTTCATACTTTCATGGTTCTCACTCCCGATCAGGCAGATTATTGTGAGTTGTAACCATATGTTATCTTGATGGACCGAAATGACATGCCATTAGTCAAACTGCCGAATAGTGCTTTGGCCGGTGTAATCTAAAGTAAAAATTATGTTTGTTAAAAAACTGGTGAAAATAAATATTCGATCGGTCCAATAGGCTGGTTTTGACTGACCAAATAAACCTTGACAATTATTTCTCTGCCATATTCCATATTTTAAGGCTTATTACTCATATTTTTTATTATCTTCTTAAAATTCGTTCAAACTAGTTCAAGCGATGGTTGGAATGTTTTTGACTGGATCTGACCTTTCATTAGTTCGGTAGAAGGTCCGATCCTAATAACCTTGGTTGTAACCAATGCTTTAAAACTGAAGGATTCAGATCAATAATAGTTGATCTAGGTCAGGAATCACCTAGGACATAAAATGCTCCTAAAATATATTACTCCCAACTAGTTCATATATATATATAGGAAAAGTCTTCTCAATGTCTATAGGCGAAAATGAACAGTAATTTTGCTTACCTTCATTATCGTCCAAAGTTCATTGCACGGTCACGATTTGTCTGGTAGTGTTTCATTTTTCATTTTTTTCTACAAATCGGAATGATCGAAAAATTAGAACGTGTGTACTTCTTAGTGAGGTGCACATACCCGAGATATCTATATCCTAATAGCACCTAATAAAAATATAAAAAAAATAATTCAAAAAAATAAATTTGACCAAAATACCCCTAAAACATTTCAGGGTTATTTTGGTCGATGTATTTCATATATATATATATATTTTTTATTTTTTTGGTAGGTTCGTCTATTTTTTATGAACACACGCTCCAAATTTCAAATCATTCCGATTTGTATAAAAAAAAAATAAAAAAAAAATACTACCAGATAATCATGACCATATGATGATCTTTGAAAGTGATGAAAGTAGGCAAAATCACTATTCATTTTCGCTTATAGGCATTTTATAGTATCTTCCACATATATATATATATATATATATATATATAAAGCTTATCTAATATATTTTTTAGGTGCGTCTTAAATCTCCACCACATAAACTTCTGTTTCAAATTTTATTTTATCTATTTTGTAATATTTTTATGAATTGTCGATTTAGAACAATCTGGACCAATTTGAATCATCAATTGAGCGATCCGACTAGGAAATGTAGAGTGGATCCACCCTACTAATGATAAAAGTCAAAAGAAAATTGTTTCATGTGGCAGGGACTGTATTTCTACATTTACATTCCTGAAGTATAAATGATTTTGCTTAAAGATAGATGCAAGTAGGTGGTCTTAAAATTAATTGAAACTAATGGTCTAAATATTTTTTTAATAAAATTATTATTTTTAAAATTTTTTTATTTATTCATATTCATAATCTTCATACTAGATATTACATGTCCTTAAAAATTAGGTCCAAAATTCCATCTCAAAATAGATTTTTAAGAGGTGATTCATAAAAACCGAATCCTAAAGCTAGATGGTCATCATTCGCAAAGATACGGACTATGTTGTAATCCAATTTTTTAAAAATCGGATGCAGGCGTAATATTAGTCATTTTTTGCCGCAGTGAGAAATATAACGTTATTTTTTGGGGCAAGTTTAACGTTATAAAATGCTGAAAACTCTCTCTCTCTCTCTCTCTCTCTCTATATCTATATTACAGGCGTAATCTTTCTCTAAATTAGGGCTTCCAATTTTGGCTACTGGTTTTTTTAGCTTCCGCGTGTTCTAGGTTTTGATTTTGAGCCACTTCTAACTCATTTGCTTTGAAAACGAGGGTTTCTTTCTCTCCCTCTCTCTCATATGAATACTACCTCAGGTCCATAGGCTAGATCATAAGTTCTCTATTATCTTTTAACTATCAGTTTCAATATGGTGCCCCTCTCTTTGTATATTTTATCCAATTAGGTTTCGGTTTCCCCTTTTCTCTCTCTCTCTCTCTCTTAGATTGTGACGTAGGGTTTTCTCTCTCTCACTTTTGTTTCAAGTTCTGGTTTTTAAGGCATGAATCCTCGATATGCAACTGGACCTGGAAATGGGCGGTTTTCACAGCAAACTTATGTTCAGAGAATCCCTAATTCACAATCGCAGCAGCAATTTCAGCAACAGGTTTGGATGAGAAGAAATGAGAGCAGTCCTATTGAAGATGGTAATCAGAATGAAGAGGAAAAGAGGGTCCAATCTGAAGTTGTTGATCCCAGGTATGAATTTTCTTTGTTTTGTCCGTTATTTATGCTTGGTAATCGCAATGTTGGCAAAACGATTGATACTGGTTTTTGCTTTCCTTGAGATGATTTGCAGTTTTCTTTGCTGTTCGTAAGTATGTTCCATAATTTCATGGTTTTCAGTTTTCTATTGGACTTAATTTCATCACTAGTTAGATGGTGTTTTCTCATCAAAGAGCATAACTACAAATTCCCCATGGTAAGTAAAAAATTTGAAATCATTTCTCTAGTCTTATTTTATACAAGGAGATATATTATTGTGAAGAATTCAAATCCAGTTAGTAGTTTTGATGTGTGTGATGCATGGGGGACTTAAAACTCTGTATGAGAGGAGGGAGGGAGTACCAGGTTGTGCATTTTGTTTTCTCTCTTTTATCCCTGTTGTTTACGTCTCCATTTATCTGTTTCATAACAAAGAAGCTTCATGCAAAATTTTCCTCTCAATATTCAAAGAGAGGGAAAGAAAAAATCCATTGAGGAATGGCATGTAATTATGTTCCTTTTTAAGAGCATTAGTGACACTTGAAAGAGGTCATAAGCTTGGCCCAAAAGGCCTGGAGCTTATCTTTGCGTAGATAAGAGACAGAATTCGTAGGAGCTTGTCTTTGCTGCTAGGCGGTATATTGATTGGCCTCTCACTTGGGTAAACTGCTGAGAATTTCATTGCCGTTAATCTATTTCATATCCTCTCAACCCTCTCTACTTAAGGGAGTTCTTCATTTTGAGTGGGAGAGTACTTCAAATTGGGATTCATTTCTTTATATGATTTTTTTTATTACACTCTTTGACTGGTTGATTGAGAAGAATTTGCAACTTTACTTCTGGATGAGCTTTCACTTTAAGTAGGTATATTGGGTTTCCGTCACTGGAAGGAGAGTCTCCATTATTAAATGGGGTGTGCCTTAGTGCAGGGGAGCACATTTTGTCTGGGAAACTTCTCCTATTATATAGGTGGAGGTGAAAGAGTCCTAGTAGAAGTATTAAAGTAAAGAATTAGGGATGAAATAAGTTGTTTGCACATTGAAGCCTGGTTTCCTTGTTTTCTATACTCCTAACTTGGTAATTTGCGTTCTTTTTAGGCAATCTGTTATGTTGTATAAATATGCTATAAAGCAGCTTATATCATAGCTGTCAATGTGGGGTCCTCTAAGCCCACTACAATTGAAAAGATGGGGGAAATGCCACTATTTTGAAGGATTATAAGTGGCTTTGAGCTATTTTTGAGATGATCACCTTACAGTGGGGCTTATATTGCAAAATAAGGATTGGGTGCCGCTCCGTAAGGATAGGGAAAACACAACTTTTATATTTCTAATGTTGATTTGTGTCAACCTCTGAAGTGCATAAATCACCTGGAACATGGCAGTTGGTTTCTATTTTGAATGGGTGCAGTTTGTTTCCCAAATACATCTTGTCTTATTGTATAGGAAATTATGTAGGAAGGAAGAGAATACAATTAATTGGCTTCATCCTAGGTTTTCATTTTATTTTGAAGTAGTGAAGAAAGGATATGGGAACTTATGATCTTATTGAGGGTATGGCCTTTGAAAGACGTGAATGGTGGAACATGATGCATGTTGCCAAACCCCAAATGCATGTCATCAAAATGATAATGATGATGATGACGACGATGATGCATTCGTAGAAATCTTATGCTCAAAATGAAAATGGTTAAACCTTTTAAATGATGAAATTACCTGAACATGGCAAGGCTATATTTGAACATGACAAGGTTATTTTTTCCTTCAAAAAAATAAAAATCGCAAGTTTATTTCCGTAAAATCTGAGTGCCAACCTCAACAACTGATATTTAACAATATTGTATGGATTAAACTGGAATTATCCATGGTGATTGAGTTTGCGGATTTCTTGTTTAGAAATTTTAATTGAATGTGAGTAACCTGCCAGACATTTTTGTACCAATTTCACTTGGTCTGTTATTGTATCAAGATTTTGTATATCTATAATATGCGTAGTCTTCTAGCTGATATTTTATTGACACACTAATTATTATTTACTGTGTCAGTTCGCAAGATTGGAAGGCACAATTGAAAATTCCTCCTGTTGACACCCGGTACAAGACAGAGGTAGCATGGACATTCCTATAATCCTTGAATATATTAACATTTTTCTGTTTATATGCATTGGTTGATGTTATACACATAACACTAGGTGGTTGTATATATGTAATGATGTCATATGCCAATTTTTATTTCTAACTGGATACTTGATCTTGGCAAATTTTCAAACTGTTGATATTCATCAATTTATTATGCACATGACACTAGGTAGCTGCAAGTTTATAATGGTGTTGATGTCAATTTTTATTACTTGCTTGGTATAATCCGAGTGAGAAGTGATTTTGAACTACCTTCAAATGTATTGCTAGATGCTTTCATTGCTAAAGATTACACCAATCACTTCATATTGAAGCTGAAACTTCATTTCTATAGTTCTATATTTTGTTGCTGCTTGGATTGTGGCTCAATCTGGCAATGTATGAGTTCGGCCAAAAAACAAATGCAGGGTTTGAAGCCCATGTCTGCCATGGGATTGTTACAGTAATAAATGAATCACATCTCTTGTTAATATTTTAATTGTTCAACCTAAGCAACCTTTAGACAAATAAATGTTTGACCTGAATTTGGTTGAAAGCCTGGAATTGTTATGTTGAGCTTGTATTTAACCCCTTTTATGCACGAGGAAGAGAGTGTAGAATTCGAAACAAGGATGTTGCGGAGATGAGGATGTTGAGATGTAGCGGAGATGAGGATGTTGAGATAGATGAGTGATAAGACAAGAAGGGATAAAATTCGAAATGGTTCCATTCGGGAGAATTTAGGTGTGGCACCAATAAGCGATAAGGTGAGAGAGAGTAGGTGGGCTGGCCATATGTGGCGCCGACCTAGTACAACATTTGTTAGGAGGTGTGAGTTAGTTCAAGTGGAAGGACTGAAAAGGGCAAGTGGTAGGCCCAAAAGGACGTGGTTAGAAGTAGTCCGAAAAGATATGGGAACTTATTGCCTAGGTGAGGGTATAGCCCTTAATAAAGCAGAATGGTGTAGCCGACCCCAATTAATTGGGAAAAGCCTATGATGATGATGGTGATTCACGGGAAAGAGACACAAGCCTGGAATTGTTATTTTGAGCTTGTATTTAACCCCTTTCATGCACGGGAAAGAGAGACAGACATACAAATATAAGCGAGAAACATAAATTGTAAGAGAGAGAGAGGGAGACAGAGAGAGCATTTAGGCAAATCTATAGATTTTTTTTTTTTTGACTGGTTGAGTATGCAATTGTCAGTAATGCAGAAAAACATTTTTTGTATACGGCTTTCTTTACCGAGCTAGCTTTCTGGAGCGAGAGATTGACACCGCCTAGAACACAGACCAAATAAGGCATGGCATCTTAAGAGATGATGTGTGTTCGCGTGGGCTTCTAATGTAGGAGCTGAGCTTCAAGTTTCATATATAACTCCTCTATGGCACCTCGGTTTTTGTGTATTCTCTTTTAATTAATACAAGAGAACATTCTCAAAAAAAGAGAAAGCAGCTGAACATATAAATGGTGACACATGGATTTTTTACTTTCTCCCTCACTTGCTATTCTCCATAATTTCCCTATTTAGAGCAAATGGAAAAAAAATGATTACTTTTGTAACCTCTTCTCAGCCATACTCTGTCTGTCACACACCCTTACCTCCCAAATGAGGGTGCAGTTTGCATACATACGCATCCGTAGGTGTAGAGGTAAGGTGCAATTTCAAATTTTATCATGGTATATAATTTTGATGTAAATGTTCTTAAGATTATCTCAAAATCTATTTTTATATCTAATTATAAAATTTTAAATTTAAAAAATAGTTAAAATCAAGTAGATCTATAAAAATATAAATATCTTGAAAATGGATGTTGTAGATAATATGTTGTAAAATGCACTATTTCTGAGACTTAAAATCTTTTTATTTTTTATAGTCATGCGTCTCGATGTCGAGATGATCAATAAAAGGGTTTTTCAACATTGAAACTACCTTTTCCGATGGATTTTTGAGCGGCATCCGTAGTTCTACATTATAAGGTAGCATCCTTGTATAAATTTTTTCCCCCAAATAAATACTAGAGATCTCGTAAGTGAAGGGAAGTTAACTAAGTATACACATTCCTCGTTTCTCCCTCCCTCCAATGCTTCTCTCTCTCTCTCTCCCTCCCTCCCTTTCTCTCTCTCCTCCT